ATTTACCTGAAAGAAATTATAAATTAATAAATGTATTTATTTTATGTCTTTTCTAAAGCCAGAATGCTCAGCCATAAACTGAATTATTTGTGTCATTTTTGTGATTTGTTTGTTTATCTCTTCATTGAAAAAATAAATCTGAATAAGCACGGTCCAAGAGAAAAGCTGCCTCAGTTTTTGTCAGGCTAAAATCTGCTCTAAGGAAGCATAAAACCAACTTACCATCATCATAGGTGGTTCCCTGGTACTGTTTGTCGTACTGAACTCCATGAGGGAGAATGCTGTAGCTTCTACTTGCCTTGTTCATAAAAGTCACTTTGAGAGTGTCACCCACCTCTGCCTTCATGACGGGACCTGGGAAAATGCGGAAGAACAATGTAATCGCAAATTTGGTGCTAAGAAATAATTTACTAACACTGTGTCAGATYCAAAAAGTAAATAAAAATAAAAAAAGAATGGGCAGTGGTTTGTCCAGTGGAGAAAACTCACCCAAAAATCCTAAATGTTTTTCTTCAGGTGTTCTTCTTTTTTGGATGGTGAAGGTTTTATCTTCGTATTCAACGAATGCCGCTTTCATGTATWTGCCTCCGATGTGTCCGTCAATTTTGCTGAAAAACACCTCTGAAGCACTGACGGGGGAGGGCAGGGTTTGTGTAAAGAAAACAAGAGAGAACAATATGATTTACGCTGCAGTGAGAGACAGTGATGGTGGYTTGTTTTTTTTTTTTTTAATAAAGAGGAAGTGAACGGTACAGAAAAAGAAACAAGACACTGGACATTAGCACTTAACCGTGTCAGGTCAAGAAACAACTGATTAATGTTTCTATTGTGAATTGTGTACCACTTATAYCTCCATAGAAAGCTGGAATTCCACACATCTTTCACTAGTTTTCTGTGGATATGTTGCTCATTTTCTCTACGTCATATKAATGTAATAATTCTAGTTGTTTTCCCAAAGTTGCAGGAGAAGTGGCGGAACAATAAAATGTGGCCTAAATAAAATTGACAAACTGCAATAATAACGTTAATATAACACAAAATCATCATGTTTACACACCTGCCGGGTGCAGTCAGCAATACGTTGTTGATCAAATCCCTTCCTGATGGAGCGTAGTTCCATACGGCTTCTTCTGCTGTCAAATAATATTTCCTCACAACGCCACATTTTAATGAGGGGGGCTTTGTGTCACACGACTTCACTTTATAAAAGGCTTGCATGCCGGCTGAAGAAAAGAAAAAACACACATGTAAAAAGCAAGGATTTGTTTCTTAGTCTAACTCAGGGATGGGCAACCAGCAGCCCGAGTGACTTCCGTCTGGCCTACCAATGAATCTAAAAGRTTAGAATCTTWGAATCTAAGAGCTGCTTTAAGACATAACTTTTAAAAATGTTTATTTTGGTATGTAMACTATCTGTTCACAGAACTTCAAGGCAAACCTGTGTTTAGTTGCTTAGAGACTCTGTCTGTCATGAAGGATTTTAACATGTCGCCACTACAACACYTTGCACAAAGCTAAYTATGAGAAGTTTACTGACGTCGCAAGAACATAAACAACAACATCTTTTACCAGAAGCAGAACCATGTAGGAGTCTGTACTCAGCTTGCACTTCAGCTTACTAAAGTACTTACATACTTAGTTTTATGTTTGCTTCAAAGGTTTTGTATTCATATTTATTAAACAGGAGTATAACTGGTACACATGCAGTTGAGCATGAAATATGTTGTTACTTCACTGGTAAAGATGCAGTGCTTGTGGCCCTCTAGTAGTGTTGAGGAAAATATTCTAGCCCCTTCCATCATCTAAGCTGCCCATCCCTGATCTAACTAACTCCTTTTAAAGAAGCTGTTAGACAAGTGAATTTGAAGGTTTGCTTTAATGACGTCACATTTAGAACCAGCAGTGTTAGATTTATTTATAGTATGTTGAACAAGTACAGTTCAGTCAGTGRGATGTTTAGTGGATTTTGGACCCCATTAAAATGCTTATCCTGATATGCTTCGAATAGATCTGCATGCTCTGCCTGCAGGAACACTTGTAACACAAAAAAAAAAAAAACAACAGAACCCCACAGGAACACATTCTTCCCCCATCAGCAACTATTCAAAGCCAGTTAGGAGGGTCAAATGGTCACATAGATGTCAAATGTCAGGRGTCATACCTTGGTAGTGGTCATTAACCTGGCAGCTCAGCAGCCACTTTCCTTTCACTTTTGGGACCATGGAGGCCGTGATAAATGTTGCAGGAAACAGATTAATGGTGCTAGTGCGGTGMCCACGGTCCATTAGAGTATTCCCGTGGAAAGAGGCGCTGTGGACGTCCGGCTCATTACCAATGCCAAACATGTACCAGGCTACAGTGCGGTGCTGGCACAGCTCGATTCCAGGCAGATTACCGAAAGTGTACCCATTAATAACTGTCACACATGGAAAAATAAAAAGATTTTAATTTATGTTCTTCTATCAATGGAATGTAATTATTTATGGGAAGAAAAAAAATTCTAACCATGCATCTTGTTTGACTCCACAAAGCTTGGATCATTTTTATCAACCCCAGCTGGGTCAGTGCATAACTCGATGTTGTCTTCTAGATACCAGCTTATGTTTTCATCCATCACAGTGAAGAACAGGGGGATAGCTTGATCCACGTCATCACGGACATACTCTTCAGCCCCGCTTAAGCCTCGCTTTTTCAAGGTTCCTGCTCACACAAAGGAAAAGCTCAATTAATTTGACATTAACTGTTCATAACCTTTGTGATTTAGTTTTAATAAGCCAACGTATTTTCATTTAATTTAGACAAGCATGTGGTCATTCACTAGTTCTGTTACAAAAGGACAACTGATATTACCAACTTTCAAAAASTGTTACGGCCAGAGGTCTTTCTTCTARGTTTATACTAAAGCATGGAATGACATTCCTCAAAACATAAAGTCCATTTCAAAACCACAGCCCTTTAAGAAGAATCTTGTCTGCCATCTGCTGGACACTTTTTGTTGTGCTCATATTTAGACGTCCTATTTTGCAAATGCTGCCTTCCTGAAATTTGGTATGCTTGTTTGTCTTTGTGTCTATGGTGTATAATGATGTGATTGTGATGCTGTATTTCCGAGTGTTTCATGTGCTGCAGAACAGGAACCTGCTGTAAAACAGCAATTATGCTGAGTCAGGCTTGATTTTTAGTAATCTTTTCCTGTTAAATCAACAAATCAAATCAAATTAAATGTTGTCAGATGATGCAGGACCATACCTTTCTTGCACGTGATGAGCGGCCCGATGAGTCCCGAGGTAATGTCTTTCGGGGCCTCGAGGTGGGAGTGGTAGATCCATGTCAGGCAGTTGGCATCATCATTGGTGGGTGCATATTCTGGTTTGACCTCCCAGCGGTAAGTGTAGCTTTTGCCTGGAGGAACCATGTCATCCTTCTTGAAATTTGCTGATGTCCCATCTGGATAAAATGCTCCTAAACAGCCCAATGGATATTATGAGAACAGAAATATGGGCCATTTACTAAATTATTTTGTACTGATTTTTTCTCACTACTCTCACAAACATAAGACTTCTCTAACGGTAGGAGTTTTGTGTTTAATTATTTCAGCATAAATTCCTTTTCAGCATATATTCGGATATTTAAACAAACATATTTGCATATTAAGCTGGCTGTAGTTTTCTTGATGTGCTTTCAATATTTTTTTATATACTTCTTGAATAAATTATTTACAATGGCAGATTTTAGCTCTGTAAAAGTTTTTTTTAGAGTCATTTAAACCAGGCTTTCCCACTCGTCCTTTCAAAACAGTTTATCTTTTCTTTTATCTAAACATTCCTTGTGCTGCTCAGCCAGTGTGTGTTTTAGATCACGGTCCTGCTGAAATTCCTGAGGTCAGTTTATTTAACACTTCTATTGCCTTTGAGACCAGCAGAGCAACCTCATATGGTAGATGCTCCCCTCTGTACAGAAACACATGTACTGTTTCTRAGATGTGCTAACAGTAGTTAATTTTAGTTGTCTTCATCTATAAAATAGTTATGAGTTTCTCTACGTGATGCAAAGATACTGTAAGACATAAATGAAAAACAAAGGACAAAAGTGGACAAAAGTGTTATTTTTTGTTGTATTCTTGTATTTCCTTTTCTAWATTACGCTATTGTTCAAATTGTATTGGTGTCAATAAATCAGAAATTAAATGACTGAAGATATTTCTAACATGATATTCCACATACTGCATGGTGACCAATCAGTAAAAGAGCAGTTAAGCAGCTGGGATTTGTCACTGATACTGTATCTCCAGAGGTCGGAGAGCAGAACTAAAGGATAAAAAGCTTTTTACACAACATGCACTCATTTCCTGGAAATCTCTAAGCTATTCCGCAGCATTAATTAAGTACTCAAAATGWTGCATTCTTTATGTTTTATTTTCCTTTTATTTAAGCAGTCAAATCCCATTGAGATCACAGATCTCTGTCAAAAGGCAGGTCTGGGCCTGCAAACAGCCTACGTGTTATTGGTCTGCAGAAGGAAACTAGAGTACCTGGAGAAAACCCATGCAAGCACYAGGAGAACATGCAGACTCTGACTCAGGTTTGAGCTGGGGATTGAAGCCAGGACCATCTTGCTGCGAGGAATCAGTGCTAAACACTGAGCCGTTTTGCTACCCTGGAGTATCCTCATTTATGATAAAAAAGTAAGGGCATTAAAAATAACCAAAGCATTTTTAACGTTTTCTAAAACATCTGTCTTCCTGACTTCATTCATGCATTGTTAAAGGACCTGTCGCACTAAAACATTTTAGACAACTTATGCTGACTGTGAAAAMGTTATGACTAAATTACTCYTTACATCTAATTATTAGCATTACAGTGTATACATCCAAAAAAGGTTTCCGATACATTTTTYTTAATTCCATCTTCAGTGTAGACATCTTTAGTGTTGGACAAAACTTTCATAAGTTGAATTAAGTTGTCCAAAATGCTACTGTTAAGTTCTTTGTTTTTGTTTTATATTTTAACACACAATTTAGAAAAAAAATGGCAATTTTTCAACATTTTCTTTCATTCAGCGTGTCATATTCCACAATTAAATGCTACTATAAAAGCACAGCTGATCCCCTTAGAGGCACATGATGCTAACAAATGTTTTGGTTGATATAATACCAGTAGTGTGCTCTCTTTTAATATTAAAATGCTTCCCCACGTGTGTTCTGTGCAACCTCATTGTGATCTTTCTCTGATTATGTGGTTTTGTGTCCATACGTTACCTTCTGCGGTCTTCGTGTAGAAGACCCCATGGGGATGCATGGTGTAGGGCCTGCTCGCACGGTTCTTAAAGCGAATCACGATGAAGTCGCCAACCTCAGCTTGTATTATGGGCCCCAGGTAGCCCAGCCAATCAGGCCGGGYAGCCTTTTTTCTGAAGGTAGCATCGGTGTACCCTACATACAGAGCTTTCTTATAGACCCTGCCAATACGGTGGGGTCCATTCTTTAGATATATACTGGCATGTCTGGGATAGACAGAGATAACAAAGATCAGGAGTAAAGATGTATAAAAATTATTTTAGATTCTTGTTTTGGCATTTTACAAAGATCAATGACACATCATTATTACAGTCTGTTATGCTTGATAGAAAAAATGACAGTGATGCTAATATTGTGCAAAATGTACTTCCACTATGAACTAAAACAAATGTAAACTGCACCTTGAATAGTTTTGGTTAGTGTCTCTGTAACAATTAGACATGTGGTTGTCATGATTACATGTTTTCAAGGTTAATAGGTAGTTAGTGAACCTGCGGCAAATGCAGTTTCACTATCCTGGTCATAAGGAAGGTGAAAGGAATAAGGATCACTCTGGATGTTTTTCAGTATAAAACAGCAAATTTAAGCAAAACAAAGGCTGTTAAGATGACGTAAACATTAAAAATCTTGTAAGGAGGATTTAAAATAAATTTTCTATGTTCACTATCGCAGAATTAAAGTTAAAAAATATTATTAGTTTTTTTATTGTATGGGTGTGTGTCTGGGTAATTAAGGCTTTTAGCATAAAAGCACTTTGAGTCACTAATAAGACTAAAAGAATTCACATGATAAATGCAATTCTTTAATTGTTTACAATTGGACACACATTTCCATGCTCTGTCTGCAAACACCCAAGGGCTAATGTGCTAACTGTATGGCTCGTTAGTAAATTTGTTTCAAGYATTTAATAGGCAATTTGACACTTTAATCCTAATCCCATGTAGTGACAACATGGCATCCACATACAATAAAAACTGTAGTCTTTTAAACATTAAAACAGCTGCAACTGAAAATAATTAGAAAAGTACATCATGATATTAAAGCTTTGGTATAACAAAACTATTAACAAATTACAAAAAAAAATGTAAGTGAAAGAATTACTGGTAAGTATTTACAAAATAAGATCTAGATTTATATTTGAGGGTTTGCTTTTAGCAGGGGTGCCCAAACATTTTCGCTGAGAGGGCCAAAATTAAAAAACATTTTTCCTGAGCGGGCCAAAATTAAAATCAATCTGAGGGARGCGGGCCAAATGCTATAATATAAGAAATGCTTAATACTTAAGTAAAGTTGTTTAATTTTTTTATGATTAAGCTAGCAGCCAGTGTGGTTGCCCACATTCTTTAGTTTTTTTTTTTCAGCCCATGGACACGGAGAAAATTCAACGTATGCTCAGGCAGCAAAGACTCATGGGATTTTTCATAAWTTAAAATTTGAGTGTACAGGGTCTTATAAAGTGTGCAAATCTATATATGGGCTTAAATCTAATCTAAATGTCTCTTGTAGTTACTTGTATTTTATATTTAATCTTAACATAATTACGATCTAATAACGAGGACAACTGCTGGTGGGCCAAATCAAATGGCTCTGTGGGCTAATTTTGGCCCACYGGCCCCATTTTGGGCACATCTGGCTTTTAGTTTTCTGACTCATTGCTAACTTTGGCTAAGTTTACAATCTTGCTAATTTGAAACATTCAGACTGTGAAGGTTTCAAGTCTTCTTTCCAAACAACCTCTTCTATTTGTTACTTATAATCACATTTTCTTCAAAGATTAATTTGATAGAACTCATGGGATGGCTCAAGAAAGTCCAATGAATTTAAGAACTATGTAAAAAGCAGAATTGTAGATTTATACATGTTTGGAAAGTATTTTGAAGCCATTTCTACCAAGACTTAAGGCTGCTGGTTCACCAGTGTCCTTGTTCATAGTGAAGGCAGTTTTACGCCACCATGGACAGAGAGGGTGCCAACCATAGAGACAGGTTCTTGGTCCAAAAGGACACCTTCATGCAATAATTGGCCTGTTTGGCCTAAATGACAAGAGYAGTCAATGTGAGGCTTTTAATGCTGTCCCACTGRCAGGCACGGTGGTGTTAGCATCATGCTGTGTTACTGTGTTGCAGAAAGTGAATGAAATTGTAAAGAAGGAGGAGTTTGTCCACACTCTTAAACCAGGTTGGAACTTGGACACAATCACAACAATCCTAAATACATCAGTACAGCATTTTGAATGAATAAAGCAGAATAACATTTATCAACTCTACGGAAAATTAGTGGAGTACAGGCTTTAAAACCAGGTTGTTAAACTTGAATGAACTCCACCAATTCTGCTAAGAAAAAATATTTCTAATATCCAGCTTGAACTACACCAGAAGCTTGTTGATGAATATGWACAGCACATTGTAAAAGTGCAACTAGCTATTAGTGCTTGTATGTATTTGAGCTTGTGTATACATTTTGACCTGTGTGAGAAAATCCACAGTAATTGTTTTTTTATACCACAGAAATTGCATCTTGTCAAATTATTCCATCTTGGGGGAAAAAAGAATGATCCAAATAAATCATTAAATGATGAGTGAATTCTGCAGCTTGTCATTTTCGAGTTCTCTTTACTGTTTTTTAGTGTTTTGGTTTTAAAAAAAAAAGAAGTTTGAGGATGTCTCAGAGATCACAACAGGGTGTTTTTTGTGCATCCGTCAAGACTGCAAGCAAAGCACAACATTCTGTTCAGAGGTCCAAATGCTGTCACACCCAGACATGTAGGAAGTTTTTAACTTAAAACTGCGCTTAAATTGGCAATTCTGTGACTTGTTTACCACAACTTGGGATGATCCCAGCTTTCAGGAGGTGATCGGATGACTCTGTATCTATTTATAACAAAAAAAAGCTACTCTCATAACTTACTCGTCCTCCTCGATGGTTTTCCCGTTGATCAGGTTTTTTCCACTCGGTGCGTAATCCCAGAGGACCTCTTCGGCCGCTATGTAGTAATMTCTGTCCATCGCCGCGCCGCCGCGCAGCAGAACCAGCAGCGCGCAGCCGGCAAACAGCCCCAAAGTCCGAGCCATGATGTTCGGATGGAAGCAGCGCGAGCTGAAGGAGAACGAAGGGCTGGGTTGTAAAACTTCGACAAGTGAAACCTCCTCGGTGTGAAGTGAAAGTCTGCTCAGGGGCCAGCGCTTATAAACGGAGTACAGATGGTCCATTCAGACCCAGAGGGCACGACCGCCTCCAGATGGGCAGGGATAAACATTCTGACTGTCTCATCAATTTAACTGTAATTGTCTGCAGGCAAATTATGGTAATCGGTCCATTTATGCCAAAATGCAGACTCAGTGKTCTAGTCTGAGCTCACCAGCGTGGACTCTCACTTTCTCTTTGACGATGTCAGTGGCGCCCCCAAAACATGGTGTACTGGGGTGGCCATGTGGGGGGACCACTGAAAATCTATGGGGTGGCACTAAAAGATAAGATTTTGTTCTTCTTTCTGCTTCCCTTCATTTCGTTGTGTTTGTATTTTTTATTTTTATTGCGCATAAAATTTTGTTTTTTTTAATGAAATGAATAAAATTTATGAATGAATGAATGAAAAACAAAAGCCTGTTATTTAAAGACTGACARATACAGCAGTATGGGCATTAGGAAATGAACTTTTGTTACACAGGTCTGCTTTAGTGTTTTAGTTTATTTTTCTTTTTACAGTTTTCAACAAAAGCCCCATTCACACGYGATAATTATCTGGGGACTCTGTYTAATAAATAAATTACCCCCCGATGTTTGTGTTTTATGTGGCGCATTCGCACGGGATAACCYAAGCRTGAGATTTTCCTGAAATTTACAGACATCTCCCYAATGTGATATTGAAGCCTYGTTAGTTGWCGCGTTGAACACGGCYTTGAACGGACYTTAAAAGAATTAAAAAACATCAAATAAATATCTTCCAACCTGTTCTGCCACTATAAGACTAGAAATYAGTTATACTTCTTCTTCGTCCTTTCCTCCTGCTTTGCAGCATGCACTGTCATCACCATGGCCGACAGACCCCCATGCGTGGGTGCAAGTAGTACAGATAGTACAGGAAACCAAAACTGCCTGATTACATATGGGGTTCAGCCCATTCCTGTTCAAATCACAGAAATGCCTATTCACATTGGATTAGTATTYTCACAGGACCTTGGAGTTCAGCGAAATATAGTAGGTAATTTATTTTTTTTTTGGGGGGGGTTTACATTACAAATTACTGACATGGCTGATTCGCACAGGATTAACAACACAAACAATCTCTGTGATTATTACAAATAGCATGGGGTCCCTATAAAACTAATCCCGTCAGAATAGGGCTTTATTTTTCACTAAATCTTTAGGGGTGGCTATACCATCCCAAAAATAACAAATCTAACAGTCTGATTTAATATTTAAGCTCTAAAAGTGTGATTCACAAACAGCTTTTAGCAGAAAACTTAACTGAATGATGTCACTTCTGAAGTCTTTGCTGAATTTGTTCCCTTTTTTAAGACCCAACTTACAGATATTTTATATGCTGTAAGATTTTTTGCAGCACTGGTACTTTGTCCTTTGTGTTTTGCTATACTTTTTTATTTTTATACACAACATGCTGACATAAATAATAAAAATAAACCAAATGAAATAGCAGCAAGGCCCAAGTCTGACTTTGGAAGACCTTTGTAGTTTTWAAGAACCATTGGCAGCACAAGAAAKTAGCTACTTAAAAGCAGATTGTTAAGAATTGAAGGTGAACAATGTTTGCATATATCTGTACATTTCTTGAGGGAATTATTCAAACATATTGCTCAAATTTTTTAAGTTTCCAAAACATTGGTCCACTCTGGATTTTTGGTGTTCTGAAAATTCTGTTCAACATTGTGTGCTTTATTTTACTATCATCTATTTAATTTTTGACTGATAAGAGACAGACTGTTAAAGAATTGGCACAGCACATTTTAACACTTTGTGGTGAGAACTAGACAACATGTTCTGCCCATGAAATGTTGCTGTTTCTGATGTCTATCAGCYATTCTGCAATTAGACAGGAAATTTGTGTTATGTTGATGCCAAGTGTGCCATGTCAAACAATGAAAGTCGTTTTGTTTTTACCAAAGACAAGCAAAAACAAAAATAATTATTAGACTGATTCTGTCTGAAATGATGGACAGTGGAGATTTCAAAAATAAGACATAACAGGTATCATGTGGGAATATGATTTGAAATTATTTAAAGTTGCAGTAAGGTCTGATCTTWGGTTGCATTTTAATGAGGCAGATGCTTTTGTAATCCCACACCATTACAAGAGAAACCAAGATCAAAAATCTACTTGTCATTTTGATAATCAAATTTTTAGGTTATGAAAGGACCGAGTTTTAATTATCAGTTGATGGCTCTTGGGTAGAGCTGCCTAAACAAACAATYCAATCTTCCTTTGACCTTTTTAACCCCAATTTACTGGAAAGGGACTGTTAGATTAGCACTCCTTGAAGATACTGCAGAACATACCGCAGCCTGTCTTGCAGAACAGTAAGMTTCTGTGACAGCTTCTTCCCCACRGCCATCAGACTTACACTGCATACTCAGAATTTTTTTTCATTGCTCAGCTGCTGATCAAACACTCCCTGAACTGTATCTCATCTGCCTGTTCATCGTCTTTGCACACATACTGTTATTTATTGCACAAATGCAAATATGCACACCTTACTAGATATCTTTTTATTTAAACAACCTCAAACTCGATCTTGATCTGGATTCTACCTCACTCTATTTTTTAATTGTTTTGTTTTTATATTCCTAACACATTTTACTTTGTATAATTTAGTATTTCAAACTTTGTTACTTCATAGTTTGTCAAGCTGTTTTTGTCGTGTGCATGTATTTGACAAGGTCAATTAGCTGTGGTGGCCATTTTGAATTAGGCTGACTCCAGAAGGGAATCAGTTCAAAGAGATTTATTAAAAATCACACATTGGTTGATGAGATATTTRCGTATCAGGCAGAAAAAAACACACACAAACAGACCTACAGTATTTTTTATAAAGGCTGGCAATAAAAATGTAAAGTATCACAACTTATTTGTCAAATGTAAAGACCTGATCTATACATCAATCATGCATTCAATCATCACTAAGAGTTTGTAATGATATATACGTACGTGTAGGAATCCTCACAGTCAGCAGGTCAGAAGCTGATTGTGTTATCTTTTGTCTCAACACTTGCTTTTTGCCCTCTGAACCCCTACATTACTGAAGGAACACACAGTTTAATTGTACAGTCTGACACAGAAGAGTATAATATCTTGTTGTTTCTCTTTATTGTTGGTGTGTTTTAAGGCAAAAATAGTTATCACTCTTCTTGATTGTGAAATAATTAAATAATAGCTTACAAAAACATTACATTAAATACATCAACATTTTTTAAAAAATATTATTTTGTGCTCTGTAAGAGATATGAATGCATCAAGATCAGACACAGATATATGCACAATAATAGTTTTATTAACCTGTTTATTGTTTGAAACACATCTTTTCTCTTGATTTCATAACCAATGCTTGCTCGCTTGAGAAACTGTTAAACCTTTTAAAACAGTTTTAATTAAAATGCCACTGATTTGCACTTAATTTAGCAGTTTTTATTTCTAAAGCTAAATTCTCTGATTGCAAATCAAATTTGATTGATCTTTTACTCTCTACAGACTTATAATTGCTTTAAAGCATTTTAATTGTACACTCAAACTAGATTTTTCTACTCATGTGAAAACACAACATTTTCTGTTAGGTACAGTATTTTATAGATCCTGGAGGGAAATTCTAAATTTAAAGTAGCATCATGACAATAAACACATTAAACAAATTCAATTAAACTAAAATGATCAATTACATGTTTATCAAGACATTAAATAAACATTACACTTATTAAAATAAACACATTGAAAAACTAAAATAATCAAATGAATGGTTGTAATGACACTAAATAAATACATAATTGGCTATATTTAACTCAATAATAGGAATAATAATATTTAACTCATTACAAAAATATGTTTAAAATTGCTCATAACATTATATAATCAAGTTGAACTCACCAAATAAACTAAAACATTCAAATGAACGTTTAATTATGACACTAGTAATAAACTTATTAAATAAAAATTGAATGTCTATCATGCCAGTAAGAAAACCTTTAAACTAGGCACTGTGCTTTTTTTTATTATTATTAGTTCAAATTTGACAAAAATATACAAAAAATATAATGGAAAATAAAGAGACTGTTACAAAAATATATAATCAACAAATATGTAACATGAACATAAACAAATTATCACAAAGTGGTCTGGTTATGAGACAAAACCTTTTAAAAATAGTTCTTGTTTTTCCAAGTTTCTGATTATTTAGGCACTGTCCTATTTTTTCTTTTTTTATGGATTTGTCTATTTTATTAAAGGAACATCAGCATTCTCAGAAAATTTGCATATAAACAAATGATAACACAAAAATAATCTCCAAATGAGACATGGAAAANTCACAAAGTGGTCTGGTTATGAGACAAAACCTTTTAAAAATAGTTCTTGTTTTTCCAAGTTTCTGATTATTTAGGCACTGTCCTATTTTTTCTTTATTTATCACAAAGGGGTCTGGTTATGAGACAAAACTTTTTAAAAATAGTTCTTGTTTTTCCAAATTTCTGATTATTTAGGCATTGTCCTTTTTTTTCTTTTTTTATGGATTTGTCTATTTTATTAAAGGAACCTCAGCATTCTCAGAAAATTTGCATATAAACAAATGATAACACAAAAATAATCTCCAAATGAGACATGGAAAAGTTGACATACAGTCAGCATGTGCACAGGCACTGTCCTTTTCTAGCTCCGTTTTGATTTCCGGGGAACGTAAACGCGATTCTCACGTTACGCACACGGCGTTTTCTCGTGCCCGCGCCCGTCGGCGCGTCACAGCCGCATGTAGTTTGTTTCGGTTCAGTAGCAACACAGACATGGCTGCTTTCAGTAAGATACATAACAGCTGCTACGAAGTCGGTCATACCTGGAGCCCATCGTGTGTGCAGGCCGCTCTAGACGTCACCAGCGGGGCTCTGGAGGTGTCTTTCAAAATATATGCYCCTCTTTACCTGGTAAGATGTTTTTACCCACATATGAATCAGTCTTAACCTACTAGCTAAAGTTATGTAGCTAATCATCGTCCTACAAACCTCCTGAGAAAGGTTGGTTAATGATACTACTGAGGTCTAGTTTGTGTAATGCTTGGGCAAACAGAAAAAAAAAAAAGGCTGAAAACATTTGTGCAATGTTGCACTTTTATAAAGCTTCAAAAGGTCATGGTGAAAAGGACTTTCATACTCAGCAAAGTTAAGTTAGTTCGCACAAGTTCTGCTTGTTATTGTAATTAAACAATGTGGCTGACCGTAAAAAGCAGTTTATTACATCTCTCCAGGTGTGTCTGATAAGAACCAAATCCAGGTTTAGTCCAAAGCTAGGCTTTAGTTACTAAAAACAGGTTTCCAACCAGAACTGGACCAAACCAGCACAAGCAC